ATTTGCAGTAAATCAAACAAAAATATTTACTTAATTATTAATAACATTTTAATAAAAAAATTTTCATACATTCAGTAGTTATATCAGGCAAATAAAACCCGATTTCTTTTGAAATTACTCAATTACGACGCTGTTGTTTAAGTTGACCCATGTTAATTGATATAGGTAGTGGCACATATTTGAATTGCTATGGCCAGTAATAGGATGAATGACCGCAATCAGAGCCGTCGTAAGCAGAAACTCTCCAACATAAACAACTCCTATTCTTTCGGTATCAATTTTGATGATGATGATGATGATGGTGGTGGTGGTGTCCACTCCTTCTTCAACGACAATGCTGCACATTCGAGGATGCCATCTTGTCATACGGCTCCATCAAGACGCGTAGTTAGGCCTTCTACCGATTTTCGACGACCCAACGAACGACCTCTAAGGCACGCAGAAATTGAACGCCATCGAAGACGAAACGTGTCCATCATGCACGAGTTGCTGCGTCTGTGCATAACTGAAGACGACCTCAGCGAATGGACATTGAGTGGAGGCAAACGGTTGGAGGATCTTTCCCACTACGAGATTCTAAGAATTTCCACTCGAAAGTTGGTGAAAGCAGTTGATGAAATGAGGACAATTGACGGCTTGCTGCAGNTAACGGCTTGCTGCAGGAGATAAGGCAATATGAAGGCATTCTGCGAAGAATGAATATTCCCCATAGAATTATGAGACCATTTGGAATTTCCAAGACATTTCACCAACAACTGGGTGAATTAGTGGAGAATATCGTGGAGGAGGATGCAAGGTAGGCTAGTATTTGAAGATAACGAATTTGTTTGTAGAATAATGTCACAGGGTGGAAGTGGAATGCCAACACCACGAGAGGTTGCGTTAAAGGCGCGCAGAGCACTTGAGAGTTTAGCCAAGAAGGCTACTGAAATGTGTGACGTTACAGATACAATCAGAGTGCATTCCTCTGCTGGTGACATAGCGCCAACGCGAGCAGCGGCAAGCCAACAACGCGACATCAATCGCAACCAAGAAGCTGACCACGTGAACGATCCCACTGTAGATTTTGATGGTAATGGTGATGATGACGACGACGGCAATGATACTGTTGTGAATGAGTTGCCTGGCTCGATTGCGGTTTCTGATGATGATGATAATAATGGTGATGATAATGCTGTGAGTGATTTACAAACCTGGTTAAACAGCGAATTCAACTTGTTTAAAAGTATGGGGGAAACTATTGATGAGGTCGAATTTTACTCCAATCTTGAAATACCTGTTGCAAAGAAGCCGGATGAGACGCACAACCCTTGATTATACTTACAGAGACCAAATCGTCTTTCCCACTCTTTTTTATTTCACTTTATTCCATTTTGCCTCTTTTAATATATCTTTTAATATTTCAATGTAAGTAATATTCATTATGGCTCTATTCCAACTCAATTACTCCGTTGCAAGCAAGAAAGCAATGACTTATAATTTCTTCTATAGGCCTTTAATCGGATAGCCTTGAGCAATAAGTATCTCTCGTAAGGACATTATTTTATTCTCGCATTTTGGAAACGAAGAATTATGAAGTATATGATGCTCGAGGTCATTTGAACTAGTGTACTGAGTAAAATCTAATTAAAAGTGGTTAATACTGAGGGGTAAAGAGCCAATGAAAATATCATTGCTTTCATTCAGTTACCAGAGAACTTTTATATACGAGGTCACTTGAGTTCAGATCCGTTAAATAAATTTGTAACAATTTAATTTAATTTTATTATTGTCGTTATAAGATTGAGGTAATCAAGGTCATGAATGTGAGATATTTCGTTCATTGTGAAAAAATTATTCCATTATTTATTGGAAATTATTATAACGCCTTTCGCTCAATATTTAGTTCAACAAATTTTAATGTGAAAGAAGAGTTGGATATTCTTTTGCTTTTTGGAAGAGGTGATTGATAATTTACTATTATTGAAGAAAGTTGAAAAGAAAAGTTGAAAATCTGCTATTAAGAAGTATAATAGATAGATTTTGGAGATTAGGATTGAAGTGGACGACGCTTCTCTTGAACACAAGCGGATCTTTTTGCCCAAATTGACGAAGATAAACATGTGGGGTAGATACTGCGTTCCGGACACTTCGAGATTATTGCCAATGGGCTGAGCTACGTGATGCTTTGGAATCCAGTGCTGTCTGATTGCACAGACTGCCCCTCCTCACAGTAACGCACTATTCCCTACTTAGTCCACACATTACATCTCTTTCCATCATTGATTCCCTGTAGCTTATCTAACCCTGAGAGCATTTGCCAACTCTGAGATATTGCAGATATTGATATTGATATTCACATAATCAATTACTTAAATTCAAACATACGATTTTTAATATCTTTAAGACCTCGAACTGCAATTTACACAATGAACGAAATGTCTGACATACATGACCTTGTATACCTCAATCTTACACCGATAATCATAACATTCAATTTAATAGCAACTAATTTATTTAATAGGTCTGAACTCAAATGACCTCGTATATAAAAGTTCTCGCGTAACCTAATGAACACTATGATATTTGCATTGGCTATTTACCCCTCAGTATTAACCACTTTTAATTATATTTTACTCAATTCACTAGTTTAAATGACCTCGAGCATCATATACTTCATAATTCTTTGTTTCCTCAATGCGAGAATGCAATCGGGTCCTTACGATAGGTACTTATTGCTCAAGTTTATACGATTACAAAAATAGAGAAGAAATAATTTGTTATTGCTTTCTTGCTTGCAACGGAGTAATTGTGTTGGAATAGAGTCATAATGAATATTACTTACATTGAAATATTAAGAAACTTTTGGTTAGCATCATGAGTGATTCTAGGAGAAATGATTTATAAAATGGTAACAATGTACAGCTTCTCAGCAAGTGAGGAATTGATTGGAAGAACTTCGAATAAGAAGAGGTGGCAATACTCCTTTTCTTCTTTCGATATATACATTTCCTAGAAGTCATCACCATGAGGATGGAGGCCGAAGACGCTACTAAATTGGTGTAATCATTTTGGCTAAAATTATGCCACTTTGGGCACATATTCCAAGTAGAGAAAAAGCGGGTGCGCGCGAAAACTCTTTCAAACTGTATCATTGATTTCCATAAATTAGTCGGTATAATTCTAGATGATGTCTTATTTAAGTTGGCACCAACATCATCGTGAACCCTAATCTACGAAATCTTGAAATTCTACTACTTGTAGCCAGAGTTCACTCCTACTAACGCCCCATTTATAATAAAGACATTTAAAACTGATCGGCGAACATGATTGTTATATAAATTGTCCTGGTATTGTCAAGTCATGCCTTCAACATTAATTCCAATGGAAAAGGAGAGAGTGGAGGGCGAAGAACAGTAATTAACTAATGAGATGACGATGTCACAAGTCTTTCGATACTTAAGTTCGGAAACATTGGGTTATCCATTCCATCGAATTAATAATATAGACTAGTGATAATTCCCTGCATACAGAACATGCCATAGTGAGGTACCTTGTCACCCTACGTTACCAGAATACTAACCACACTCTAAGCAGAATTGGAGCGCTAATTCATAGACCATCCACAAGCCAATTTAAAGAAGACGCCATGTAGGAAATTATGTGATCGTAGTAAAGATATATTAAAAGAGGCAAAGTGGGGTAAATTGAAATAAAAAAGAGTGGGAAAGACGATTTGGTCTCTGTAAGTATAATCAAGGGTTGTGCGTCTCATCCGGCTTCTTTGCAACAGGTATTTCAAGATTGGAGTAAAATTCGACCTCATCAATAGTTTCCCCCATACTTTTAAACAAGTTGAATTCGCTGTTTAACCAGGTTTGTAAATCACTCACAGCATTATCATCACCATTATTATCATCATCATCAGAAACCGCAATCGAGCCAGGCAACTCATTCACAACAGTATCATTGCCGTCGTCGTCATCATCACCATTACCATCAAAATCTACAGTGGGATCGTTCACGTGGTCAGCTTCTTGGTTGCGATTGATGTCGCGTTGTTGGCTTGCCGCTGCTCGCGTTGGCGCTATGTCACCAGCAGAGG